AGAGCCCTGTGTCATACGTTGACTCTCTTAACTTCCCTTTTTGTAAGCACTGATCAGTATTTGTTAATTCTTTATGATCTCTTAGAGTCGATTCAAATTTCTCTTCTTAAGTTTAGAGTTTAGGGGCCGGCACTGTGGCATAGCGGGAAAGGCCACCGCCTGCGGCACCAGCATCCCCTATGGGCGCGATTCCAGTCCCAGCTGCTCCACTTTCCTGCTAATGGTTGGGGAGAGCAGCAGAGAATGACTCAAGTGCTTAGGTCCCTGCCACCCACGGGGGAGACCCAAACGAACCTCCTGACTCCTGGCTTCTGCCCGGCCCAGCTCTGGCCATTACAGCCATTTGGGGAATGAACCAGCAGATGGAAGATCTCTGTCTGTCTCTCTCACCCTCTTCCTTTCCTTCTCTGTAACTCTGACTTTCAAATAGATAAATAAATCTTCAAAAAAAAATTGGAGATTGAATTTTATCACCTTTACTATATTTTAGTTTGAGAATTTAACAGCCTACATATTATGTGTACATATCTCAGAAATTTTGCTTTGTAATTTACTTATCAAATGATCTCTAAATAATTTGAGGTTAAATTATTGTCCTTATTTTTTGTATAAATGAGAGGACATGGCACGCCAGGACGTGTCTTCAGTGATTGAGCTTTTGAAGCTTTTCTATTGCTTTCCAAATTGGAGCTGGAGTGATTTGATCAGCAAAGCGGAGTTGATGATTGCTGATAAGGTGCCTCAGGGGCCTGGGGTAGCTCAACTGGCAAAATAGAGTCGCAGTCAGGGAGTGCTACCAAGTAATGTAGCACAGGGCAACCAATGACCTTACAGTTTTTTGAAAAATTTTATTTCATTCTTTCCTTTAAACTCATTTTTTCAAAGCATGAAGAATATTTCTCTTGTGAAATTCTACTGCCTTCTCTTAGCCAAAGAACCGAACCATCCAGTCGATTAACTAAACAAAAACGACAGGAAACTTCATAAATATTTAAAGCTGCTGCTATGAATTAAACATTGGGGTAAAGAACTAACTCCTTCATTAAGCACAATGTTGGAATAAATAAATAAATAAGCTCATGACATATACTGCTAGGTAAATCAAATGTTTGAACTAATAGTATTTCAGGTTTCTCTAAACATTTACCTTGGGAAGTGCTTTAAATAATTGTGTTACATGTGTTGGCTTATTAGACCAAAAGCAACTGATGCTGATGAAACATGTAGGATTTCTTTTTTAAAAAAATATGTAAGTGGTTGGTATATATGGTTGGTTCAGCCCTTCAGAAAGCGAAGCCTTTAGCAAAAATGTAGGGCAAAGCATGAGAAACATGTGACTAGTTTTGTGTGATTTTAAAATTGAGCATTGGGGCAGAAGTTTGGCGATGTGGTGAAGATCACACTTGGGACCCTTGCGCTCCCTGTCGGAGTGCCCGGGTTTTGATCCAGGCTCTTCTGTCCACTGCAGCTTCCTGTGTGTACTCTGGGAAGCAGCAGATGATGGTTCAAATCCCGCCTCCCATGAAAGGGACTCGGATTGAGTTCTAGGGTCCTGGCTTCCTCCTGGGCTCAGCCCTGGCTGTTGTAGGTTTTGGGAGAGTGAACTTGTAGATTGGAGAGCTCTCTCCGAAAAAGAGTATTTTTAAAAAGAATCAGTTGCAGGCTGGTGGTATGGCATAGCGGGAAAAGCCGCCGCCTGTGTCACTGGCATCCCATATGGACGCCAGTTTGTGTCCTGGCTGCTCCACTTCCAATCCGGCTCCCTGCTAATGTGCCTCGGAAAGCAGCAGAAGTTGGCCCAAATGTTTGGGCCTCTGCCACCCATGTGGGAGACCCAGAAGAAGCTCCTGGCTTCAGCCTCGCCCAACGCTGGCAGTTGCAGCCAGCTGGGGAGGAAACCAGCAGGTGGAAGATCTCTCTCTGTCTCTCCCTTTCTCTAACTCTGTCTTTCACATAAATCAATCTTTAAAAAAAGAAGAAAACGAGTCAGTTAATCTCAGTACAAATCTCAGAAAATCACGGGAATGTTAAGCCGGGAGCCCCGCAATGAGGATTGAGGGTGAGGCTCTGCTTTTCTCCCTGTAGGCTGTGTGTCTGCCTCGTCAGTGGACCGTGACGGAGCATCTGAAGTGTGCCAGGCTTATGATCCGGCAAGGCTACAGAGGTCATTAAGATGTGGCTCCTTTCCTTGCAGAGCTAAATCACCACCCACAGACCTAGATTTCTCTCTGCCTCCTGTGGTGGATGGGGCCAACAGAGTACAGAGTAGTAACCCTGTTTAGAACTTAGGAGATCTGAGTTTGTTTCTCTGTGATGCCACTGGCTATGTGCCCCCTTCAAACCCTCTACTGAGCTTCAGTTTCCCCACTTAGAAATGCCCTGCTAATTCTTCCCCTGTTGGGCATTTTGCAAAATAACGTGAATACAGAATAGTGTGAAGCCATTTCTCAAATATGAGTATCATCCTGATGATTATTTTTCTGACCTTGCCATAAAATTTAGGAGAAAAAGATAACCATGGAGTGTTGAAATTATTTTCAAAGCTATGTGAAAAAATATAGTAATAATGTTGGACCTTTTCTGAGTATATCCAGTGTGCCACTTGAGCCTCTGTACAATCTTATTAGGTAGGTTCAGTTGTCATTCCCACTTTACAGACAAAGAAGCTGAGGCACACAGGGTGTTTTTAGTCACCAAAGGTGACATAGCAAGTAAGTGATGGAGACGAGATTTGCTACCTGCAGTCTGGCTGCACATTCACAAATAACCTGTGCACACTGCTCCCTGAAAGCCACGCACACCATTGCTGGAGATCCACTCAGATCCCATCTTCAGTGATGTCTGTTACTGTTTTATTTAATGTTCTCTAAGGGAAAAAAATGTATCGCACAAAGTTAAGAAAGACATCCTTTTTTGTCTCTGAGTAGACTTGAAGGCTTTCCCTTGGAGTTGAATTTGCTTGAAAGGAATTAGCTGCTCAATTACCACAAGCTGTAGGGTTTAGGAATTGCTCTAGGGGATCAGCTCTCAAAGATTTTGGCCTCACAACCCTTATGCACTTTTAAAAAGTAGTGAGGATGTCAAAAAGCTATTGTTGTATGGGCTATATCTGTAGATATGCACCATATCAGAAACTAAAATTCAGAAACTGAAGAACTATTAATTTATTGCGAGTAACTATGTTATAATTAACATAAAAGATACCTTTTTGAACATGGAAAATAGTCATATTTTCTAAAACAAAATAAGTATACCATGGTTTTAAATTTACCAACTGTGTAAAGTCTAGCTTTAGTAGAAGTCAGCTACATTATTATATAAACTTCTGCATTCAGTCTATTTCAGCAATCGTTGTTTACTTCCAGAAAATTCCAAAACATGTGCATGAGAAAAGGAAAATGGAGGAGGCAAAGTACTGGTTTATTACTAATTTTTAAAAATAGTTCTGACCTCTGACTTCTTAAAAGAGTATTGGAGACCCTGGATGGTTCCTAGACTTGCTTTAAGACATATGTGTGTCTCTTGAACTACTGTTTTGGTAATGATCCCATGCAAAAATCAACAAGGCAAACAGAATAAATGGGATTCTGTTGAATATCCTTGGCAATTAAATTAGGAAATCAAGGGTAAACCCAAAAGATATAATCTTGATGACAAGGTTTTTTTTATCAAACTACTACAGAATGAGCATTATTTTGGTAGTTAAATACAGTGGGACTGAAATTTGCATTAAATATTCTAGAGAAATTTGTATTTTTACCTCTTGTGTTTTCCGGTGTTTATCGTGAATAGAAGTTGACTGGGTTGTAGATGGTATTCAAATAAGACGCAAAAAATCCAATGTACTATTTACTGACCTGATCATGTGTAGTGTCTCCATGTTTCAACGTATTAACCAGGAAGTAACAGCAACCACATCAGAGTACCTGGGGGGAAAGCTAGGTATTTCTGTCTCAAAACAGCCCTCTGAAAAGGTACCCTCTACCTTCCTCACTACCCTTCGTTCCTCCCTAGCCTCTCTGCCCATTTTACCAAAAGAAAGGTTCAGCAATCGCTGGGAGTCATAGAGCTAATAAATAGCTAGATGACTGGGATTTTTTTTCTTTCTTTTTTTTTTTTAAAGATCTATTTTATTTACTTGAAAGGCGAAGTTATACAGAGGTAGAGGGGGAGAAGGAGGGAGGGAGAGAGAGGGTCTTCCATCCACTGATTCACTCCCCTAACGGCCAGAGCTGTGCTGATCTGAAGTCAGGAGCCAGGAGCATCTTCTGGGTCTTCCACACAGGTGCAGGGGCCCAAGCACTTGGGCCATCTTGCACTGGTTTCCCAGGCCATAGCAGAGATTTGGATGAGAAGTGGAGCAGCTGGGACTCGAACTGGCACCCACATGGAATGCCGGTGCTGCAGGCAGAGGCTTAGCCCACTATGCCACAGTACCAGCCCCAACTGTGGGATTTCAAACCCAGTATCCCCACTGTCCCTGTTCCTCCATGCGCCACAGCCTCTCTGTACCAGTCTGAGTTGGTACATAATGTATGTAAAGGGTACCTGGTACATCCTAAGCACATACGCGTGGTCCCTTTTCCTTTTTCCCTTCCTTCTTTTTATCTTTGTATCGTGTCATGTTCCTCCTCCCTTTCCACTTCTTCTCCTCCCTCATGGTATGTGCCTGACTTCCCAACTTCTTTGATTCTTGAAGGCCCCTTAACTAGCAGTCATTTTTTGCATTGCGCTCACTGTCTCTTTGTCCTCTCAACCAGGGCCTCAGTGCTCCTGGTGCCTGGTCTGGTTCCATTCTTTGTCAGACTTGCCTCTGGACCTCCCCACAGCTTCAGAGATCATTGTCATGATAGGATCGCTCTTCATTCCGACTGTAGAAATTCTACCATGAATTGTCATTTATACTGTGTGTAATTTCTTTGTAATGTTACAAATTTTCTTCTTGCATAACAAATGGATTTAGATGCTATACACTTCTACATGACTGGTATTTATTTTAGAATTACAGATTGCCAAAAGATAAAACAGGGACCACAAGGATTGGTGACCTTGCACCCCAGGATATGAAGAAAGTTTGCCATTTAGCGCTAATTGAGCTGACTGCCCTCTATGATGTATTGGGTATTGAATTGAAGCAACAAAAAGCTGTGAAGATGAAAACAAAAGGTAATCTTGAAATGAAAAACATATTTGCTTCTAAAATAGTAAGAGCAGATTTGATTTCCTAGTGGTATTCTTGGAGGGCAGGGGAACACCTAGAAAATAATATGATATTTGAACATACCTGAAGTTTAGATTCTGAAACATTGTCCTAAAAAATTTATAACTTGATAAAAATATACAGTGTCCTAGAATATAAAAAATGACAACCAAGTATAATTCATATAAAAAGGAAATTCAGAATCGAGAATCTTAACTCTTATGCTCTCTCCTTTGAAAACTATCCACAGTCATGCCTCAGTGCCATTGAGGAATTTGTTCCAGAACATTCCCTCTCCCACAACCCTCACAGATACCAAAATCCATACATTGTTAATTGCATTATACGAGATGTGAGGAATAAGCAAATAACATAAGCACCTGTATGCTTTGAGTTATATCTAAATATTTATAATTCCTAATATAAATACTATGTGGGTAGTTGTTATACTGTATTGTTTAGGGAACAACAGGAAAAAAAGTATGTTCTGTACAGATTCAATTTTCTCCCCATTTTCCATCTGTGGTTGGTTGAATCTGCAAATGATGCAACCCATGGATACTGAGGGATGACTGTATCTTAAAAGATGTATTTCATATACACATTTATTTCTAAAATCAGCTCTTGAACAAATGGCTCTAGGATGGTTGATCCTGAATGATGGCTTTTGCTTATTCATTAGGTAAGAAATGTGTAGGATAGTTACCAGTCTGTGCCTTTTTTCATTTACATTATGTTTTGAACTATTATATAAAAACATCCTTTCCTCTAGAAACTAATGTCATTGTGACACATAATGCCACTAGATTATATTCATCATGATTACATGTAATATTTCTTTTGTAAGTAACTTGCTTTACATCAACAGAATTTGTCTTTTATAACGTGATAAAGAGCAGACACCTCTTCATTTTTTTTTTTTTTCCTTTAAGATTTTATTGGTTTGGAAACCCAGATAGTTCTCTACTGACAGAGATTTGCTGTTTCTGAATCTCTGCACTCTTGGTTCATCTTAAAGGTAACTCCTAAAGAGACACCAAGGGTGAGGATTATTGAGTTGCTATGGTAACATTAGCAAAGACAAGTTTTCACCTGATGCTAAGTCTGAGAGACAATTTCTCTGTAGGACTGAAGTGTGCCTTCGCTTCATGGCATCTTGTCATGCTGGACCTCATCCTATGCTCAGCTCCTTTGAGTATTTTACTATAAAACCTCATGGGTGAATTTCCGATTTTAATTGTCCTTCGGATTTTCCATAAGTATATTACAGGGAATGAAGAATTCAGGTACCTGTTTAGAAGCTTATCACAAAGCTTTCATAGACATACCGTAGATAAGTGATTTAAATAGCTGTGACTTAGTGCCCGAGATTTTTTAAGTGGCTTAGAACATTTTATTTTTAAATTGCATTCTAGCAGAGAAATATTAGGTTGTTCTTATTAAGTTGATCACTGTTAGTGGGATAGAATCTATTTTTGTTTTTTAAATGTATGTCTCATCCAAGATATTTCTCTTAAACACTTAGCATTTCTGGGGAATACATCTTCTTTGAATCCTCAGACTTCAAAGTTATTTACCAGGGTGCTGACAGTCTTGAATGACAATTCAATTCAGTGTCATTGTCCAATGTCCCTCATCGTACACAGGGTAATCCCTTTTCTGTGTTTTATTTCCTCAGATGATTGTGTCATAAAAGAAACACTCATCACTTTTGTGCTAATTATCTGTTTAGTGTGAGGGATGGGGTAGAGGTGCTGGGTGGAAGCTACACTCATGCCAGACACAAGTCACAGGGTTATAATTTAGAAAAATTATAAATATTACCTGTCATCTCTTCTGGAGCTATTCTCAAATGTATGAACCTAGAAACTTTTTAACACAATTTATCTACTGTATTTTCCAGAAAGAAACATTTGTAGAACAATATACTGTTGACTAATTTCTCAAAAAGCCAATATTTTTTTTTCTGTATTGTAGGATGTTGCATGTGAATTTGATATGGAATAGATAAATGATATTGCTTTTTGGTCAAAAACTTTACATTAGAAAATTATTTGCATATTTTGTACATTCTCATAGCACTCTGTTTCTATTATGAAGCAGGTAGCATTTTTCTAGTTTTCTTCTCCTGCTAGACTGCTCTAAGGCAGAGCCAGAATTTTTCCATTGGCCTGTGTGTATCTAATGGTTAGTTGGTGTCATCCACCTAGAAGACACTCACTAGACAGTTGTCTGACAACTTATGTTTAACATTTTTGTATTAATATTTTATAGATTGATTAAAATGAATTCTGTTTTCTTGTTTCAGATTCTGGTCTTTTTGGTGTTCCATTGACAGTATTGTTAGAACAGGATCAGAGGAAAGTTCCAGGAACTCGAGTACCCTTGATCTTTCAAAAAGTAAGTCAGCCTGAACTGGTCAGTGTAGGGAGAGTACACTTGAGCTAATAGTGGTTTTTGCAATCATATAATTATAATATAGTTTTCCAATTGCTATGCTCTTGTGTTTTGTACTGTGATTTTCTATTCATGAAGCACATTTATTTCAAATGCTCATGATTTTTATTTCATGGTGATGCTTTCTGTGTTATTACTCTAACTGTGATTACCTGGAATCATTTTCCTGTCTTATATTAGCTGGCTTTGTATAATTGCGATTTCAATTCTATAATACACAGGGAGTGGGAACTGCTTATAAATTTCTAGGGAATTGAATCTTCATGAATATTTCATGCCTGTATGTATTTCCCAGGCTTTCCTATTTACAGTGAGGATGTCCAATTTAATTTACCAGTGCCTACTTCCAAAGTAGGCAAAGAAACTGTAAAGTAGAATTAGAAGATGACTGCTAAACTATCAAGTCACTTGTGTAGTCAACACTCAATTATTCATAAGGGGATTATCTGTAGCAATAAAAAAAATTTCAGCCCAACCTCTGAGCCATCGTCATTCAGAAACACAGATTACATTTGGAAAAAGTTAGGGAGGGCATAGTGAGGAAGGCAGGTCACGTCACTTATGGACCACCCAAGCTGTAGATTCGTTGCAATCTCCCATGCATATCACAATTTCTGAAATTTCTGGAGATAGTGAAGATTGCTTTGTCATTGATTGACTCAGCAAGCACATCTAATACTAAGGCTTGATGTGCTTTGCACCAATTCTTCGTCTGTTCCAAACCAGTCATTAGCCTGTCTTACCTGCTAAGCTTTGGGGCCTCTCTTCCTCATGTTCACCATTTTATCCCAACCCTGTATCTCCCGATGTCTCCGGAATAACTTTGCTCTACACAGTTTATCCTGGTCGTTAGCCTCTGCCCGCCACTGTCTGTAAAACTTTGGTAGTTGTACTTGTGACTAACTGAAAGAGACTAAGAATTTGAGGCTGCATGTTCAAATTCTTCTAATTTCAATAAAATGTCTGAGTTGCTATAACACAGAGAGCTATAACAGAGCAGGGATCTCAGGGCACTCTCCCAAGGTATATTAGACTAGGTTCTCCCAAGAAACAGAAGCAAGAGTTCATATGAGTGTGGAGATGGAGAGATGGAGAAATTTATTTTACAGAATTGGCTCATGCTTTTGAGGGGCCTGGCAAGTCTGAAATATGGAGACCACACTGGCTGGCTAGAAACTCAGATGAGATAACGCTACAGCCTTGAGGTAGGATTGCGTCTTTGCTTTGAGGCCTTCAACTGACTGGATGAAGCTTATCACAATAAGCAGGATGATCTGTTTTGCTCAAGTCTGTAACAACTAGACTGGACATTACAACAACAACAATGGCTGGGAGCTGTAACCTAGCTATGCTGATGCACACAACTCACCATCACACCAGGGAAGTTCGGTGAGCTACAGTTCCCATGAAGGTTCCATGATTCCTTTAACCTGGAACAGGATTCCAGCTGATCCCTTAAGAACAATCTCCCTTTTCACTTTTTTCTTGAATTATTATTGAGTCGGTTATTTTCAATATTTGGTCACTTTCAACATCCTGGAAACTCTGGCAGCCTACCAGTTGGAAGTATTGGATAACATCCCTAAAGAGGTTTTAATTCACATAGAACATAAAGGAGAACATAAAGGAGAATATGAAAGAATGTACTTGTACATAATGGTCATCTGTTTTCATCCTTTCTGATTATATGCAATATATCACATCAATCTATCATGCAAAAATGCTTTTTTGATTTATTAGCTGACAATTCAATTAGATCTTCCCTCAATTTTATAAAAAGGAAAGAATTAGAAAGCACTGATTTGTAAAAAGATTCATTAGCAGTCTTTAGAGGATCATACTTTAATTTTTGAGGAAGCGTACCCAAATGGTACTAGCAAAGTTGATCTGATATCTGTTTTTGCTCAGAGACACATTGTTCAAATCATATTCTCAGAAGGCATTGGGGAAGTAGAAATGTTGTTAAATTTAATTCATGGAAAAAGTCTGCTTTATAATCTCATTAGCAAATCCAATGTTCTCTTTGTCAAACTAATCAGCCAAATCAGACATACTTTGTGTCAAAAAGTTGGACTCCATTTTCATTTCATTTTTTAGTTTGTGTAAGTATTTAATATGTGCTTTGAGAAATTTTATGAAAATTATTAAAAAGTTATTGAAATGTATAAGATAAACTGCTAAAATAATATAATTAAAATAAATAGATCAATACAGTTGTTTTCCAACTCTGTTTTAAGAGTTGGAAATAATAGGAAAATTACTAAGACTTTCTTATTATTTACATTTAATAATGCAACACAGTGTGATAGCTTAAAATTTGTTATTTTCAAAGTGAGAATTATAAGAAAATACACGGCATTCCTTCTTTCCTATGTGTCTATCTAAATAACTCTATTGGTTGCTGGTATTCTGTTTTAGAGAATCATAAAAAGGAATCTAATATAAAAGTCCAGGAAGTACCCTCAAGAAATTATGTAGAAGTCAAAATCAATTCCTCTCCTACATTTATTGAAACTGAAAGGCATATACAACTAAAAACTATTCAAGCACATAGCATATTTTATTTCTGGTTAATAGGATGTAGCAACATTTAAAGATGAAATAAAATGAAAATTGGCTGTACATAGACTACTTATAAATTTGACTTTTTTGAATAATGTGCATCTAATCTAATAATTCATGTAAAATTTGGGCTGTGGGTTTTTGTCTTGTGTAACATGAACAATGTCTTGGAAAACATTCTAGTTGAATTTTAAAAACTCATGTAGTATTTGGAGTTGTCAGAGATGCTTCCTTTTTCAAGTAATAATAAATCCTTAGGAAAATTCTGAGAGTACCATTTTCGTAATTCCGATTTCTTATCCCCAGTGCTTTCTTTGACCATAATCTAATTGCAGGATAGAACAAGTGAGCTCATAGGAGAACAACTGCTGTCTTCTCCAGTGTCTACATGCTACAACTTATCTGACTTTTGACCATGTAGACAAGGGTCAAAAGACCTCATTTATGATGCCATGCTTCGCTTTTCATAGACTCTTTTATATGGGGAGAGAAAAAAATAAGCTCTGTGTTGTTTATAGAGCTTTGGTAAATCATTAAAAGAGGCTTCCTTGAAACAAATAACAAAATTTTACATTCTTTAGGCACTCTGGAAGGTTTTCTGCCTTGGGGCATGCAGAGAGTATTGTAGGAAGTTTGTAGATGATGGAAGAATAGTTCTGTCTTTTATAAAGCAGGAGAGAGCTGCTGGGGAAGGGTAGTGGGTGGGAAGAAGGAAAAGCTAAATGATACCAAGGAATGACCTGATCTTTACACTGAGAACATGAAATTGATTTCCTTGCAATAGCAGATTATCCCAAAAAGTATTTGTGCACTGCCCAGGGGATGGGTATTCCAGGTGGAAGATCATTCTGCCAAGAAACTGACTGCTTTTTCATCTTCCTAGTTTCCAGCAGTTTATCATTGTAATTTCTCCATTTGCCTTTTTATTTTATGGTGAATTTTTGCCTTATAACACAAAATTAAAAAAAACATTAGTGGGGTTCTAGAGATAGGCAGATCTGTATGTATTCATTAGGCATTATTAGGTATGATGTGGAGACCCTGTACAAGAATGCTTTTTTAGTTAACCACCAAAGGCTTAAAAATGAATATTTGCAAGCAAGTTTTTTTTTCCTTTAGATCATAAATAATTCATCCTTGGAAAAAACTAAAAATGAGATGTAGATGTACAAATACTAGAATTTTTTAAGACTTATTTGATTGCAAATGTATCTCCCAGAAAAAAAAAAAAAGAAATGGATGTTCTCAGTTGTTTTTCGCAAAAAACATCTTCATCCTCAGTTTGTTTGGAGTTCCACAGCTGTTGTATGAAATTATACACTTCTGTTACCAAGTAGAATGAGACCCAACTTTTTGTAAATTAAAACTAAAGCTTTCGGATGTATTGTTTTGAAGGATGTTGGTAATTCAGTCATTTGGAACCTCATAAGATCCAGTTTATGTGTCCCTGTAATCAGTTTTCATTTATTTATATGTGAAACAGATGTTAAATTTGGAGTTGTACCTGCTACAAATATCAAAATCTGAGTGTTTTTCTGTTTTTGTACAGCTGATTTCTCGGATTGAAGATGGAGGCCTGGAAACAGAAGGCCTCTTGCGAGTCCCTGGAGCTGCCATCCGAATCAAAGTAACCTCTTGGTTCTTCTAGAATGAATTTTTATTGTTTAATTATACTTTTGCATTTTAAAAGCTAACTTGTCGTGCCCAGAGTGGTGACCTTGTGGATTAAGGCGCCACCTGCAATGCCAGCATCCCATATGGGTGCCGGTTTGAGTGCTGGCTACTGCGCTTTTGATCCAGCTCCCTGCTAATGCGCCTGAGAAAGCAGTGGAGGATGGCCCAAGTATGTGGGCCCTGCACCCACATAGGAGACCAGGAAGAAGCTCCTGGCTCCTGGCTTTGGCCTGGCCCAGCCTTGGTCCTTGTGGACCACCAGATAGAAGATCTCTCTACCTCTTTGTCTCTTTCTCCACCCCATAGTCCTCTTGTTAGGAAAGTAGATAAGATAAAATGAAATCCATCAACATTGTTTTGTATTTGGTTTTTCTACAGTCCCTTTTGTTGTTTTGTAGGTTCTGATGTTTTCAAAATCACCCTGTTCTCTATGATAAGGAGAGCATGATGAGTGCAATTAGAATAGGGGGTTCGATGGTAAATTTAGCTCGGTTGACTACTTGCAGCTCAGTTTTCTGTAAAAAAGGCAGGAACTTGGACTCTAGGAGGTGAACAGATGAGGGACTTTGACATGAGTCTCTGTATGTGATTAGCCTTAGTGACGGGGCAAACAGATTCTGTGGCAGCCACCTCCCTGATACTCACAGGTCTGTGTCTTGTCACACCCAGTGTAGCACACGTCTGGCGAGGGATTGCCATACTTCCCAAATGGAGCACTGCGCTTGCTTTCTGGTTGTCTCATTCTCTCCCTTCTGAGTGGCGTTTCTGTCCCACTCTGCAAGGCGACTTTGCATCGTGCTCCGGGATCGTGCGGCTTTCGTGCTCGCGCGAATAAAGCTTCCGATGTATGTGCAGTAAAGATGGTTTCTCTGAAGATGATGCGATTTCCAGGGGACTCTTACTATGAGTTGAGCTCCGTCTGAGAAAGGTATTTAGGGAAAGTGGATGGTTAGCAGTCATTACATGACTACCTTCCAAATTCAGCTTAGCTCTGAACTGAGATAACACAAATAACTGCCCATATGCAATCTAGTTTTCCTGAACTTGAAAATAGGATCTAAGGAAGAGATCTTCCCCATTCATTTCCTTAAGGCCTGCACTAGATGACAGTCGTTGCTGGATCAGGACCGATTCTCGGGGGGTGTGGGGCAGACTTTCCTGTGACGCCGGAGCTGGGCTGCAGCTGAGATGGGTGTTGCTGTTCACGCATTCTACAGTCTGCATCACCTGCTTATTTTAAAAGTTTCCTCAACTGAGGATGTGAGTTCCAGCCTACTTGGCTCTTAGGACTTGGTGATCTCGTTTTCATAGGATGCAAGTAATCTGATACACTCTGCTCCCAGATTTCATCCTGTGTCCCCTGGGTTTGGTGTCTGGTGCTTAGAGGTCCCTGAAACTGTTGGTGTGTGCGTGAGCTGGTTAACTTGCCATTGTCTCAGCCTACGGCAAGTTCACGGCTAATCCATCATGGACATCGTAGGTGATGCTGAGATAAGTGCTGTTTCCCCTGGAAACAGGCGAGATGGCTTCCTATCACCCTTGTCCGCCAGACTGGAACTTCTCAAGCCACTGTTCAGAGCGCCCAGGCCTTTGCTAGCAGAGTGTCATGGCCAACTCCCATGAGTCAAAAACAGGTCTATGGCAGTGCAGAATAGTGAAGAGAATGTGGATTTTACTTTGTGGCGTGGAGGCTGGGAGAAGGACAAGTTCAACTCAATGTAATTTTTAAGAAGCCCAATTAAGCAGATTCAGCTGGCTCAACTCTTCGACCTAGCCTGGTGTCGTGCACCGAATTATGCAGCAGCTGCTCCGTTATAAATAATTTAAAGATAATATGCAAAAATCTCATTTGTCTCTTTTCTCCCCTGCCCCATCGAATTCCTCCTCTATCTCCCTCTTTCTTCCCTTCCCTTCCTCTCCCTCCCATCTTCTCTCTCCCTTCCTTCTCTCCTCCCCTCTGATTCTGTCTCTCCCCCACCTCATCTTCAGCCTCCCCCTCCTCCTCTCTCCCTTCACTTCCTTTTATCCCTTCTTCCCCAGTCCCCCCTGACCCCCCACCTCTCTCTCTGTCTTCCTCACTTCCAATGTCACATATTTGCTTCCGAAATAACTGGGGCAGGGGAAGGAGGCTTGGGCTTGTGTTGTGAAGAGGAGATGTGATAAATTCACCGCACTGGCAAAACAAAGAGCACCCCTTAGCAGAATGGCTTCAGATAATAGAAGGAAGTGACATGCTAACATGATACGATTGATGTCACAGTGAAGGAGCACACAGAAAATAGTAATTATGAAGCGAAATTGATTTATCAGTATTAATTTGCAGGGCAAATGCCATAGGGCCCTTGAGGTAAAGGCGCTCAGTGTTTCTAATTCTCCATGGACGCTGACTGTGTTCTGCAGCCGGTAGCAGGAAGGTAATGCACTGAAGATGGGGATGTTGATACATTTTCATGACTCAGAGAATTTGGTTTTGCATCTCCCAGAGGTGACTAATCATAGGTAGTTTTCTGCTCTAGGCTCACAGATGGATTATGTATTTGATTATATATAATGCTTCTAAATACTCTAAAGCATAGTTTTTTTTTTTTATAAAATCTTTTGTTATTTATTTATTTGAAAGAAAAATGATAAGGGAGAGACAGAGAGAAAGTGATCCTTGATCTGTTGGCTCACTTCCCAGATGTCCACAAGAGTCAGGGCTGGGCCAAGCTGAATTCAGGTGGCAGGAACTCCATTGGATTCCCTTGTGTGTGGCAGGGAAACGAGCCCTTGGGCCATCCTCCGCTGCCTTTCAGATGCATTAGCAGGAAGCTGGATTGGAAGCAGTGACAGGACTGGTTCTAATGCAGGTGTCCCAAGTGGTAGTTCAACCCCCTGCCCGCAATGCCTGTGCCAGAATTATTTTTGATGTTTTTTCTTATTAATGAAGCCTTCTGGAATCTACTTGAAGCCCCGAGTATAAAGAACATTTTAAGCATTCTTTTAATGAATCCTGTACTACTTAAGAGTTGTTGAGTGTACATGAAAAAATATAAATTTTAAAAATGTTGTGGCTTTAGGTAGACCATTTCCTTGGCAAAATCCACTCAGGGTGGGGCGGTAGTTTTTTCTGAGTAACAGAGAAGCCCTGACTTTTGGTACTTTGTATGTCTTTTCTAAAGAACAGAATTCTTGTGAAGTGGAAATTATATCATACTCTTAAGCAGGGAAAAAAAATGTACTTGTTTTTTTTTTTCTTTTCTCCTTGTGCCTTTCAGAATCTCTGCCAAGAACTAGAAGCAAAGTTTTATGAAGGGACTTTTAATTGGGAAAGTGTCAAACAGCACGATGCGGCCAGCTTGCTAAAGCTCTTTATCCGGGAGCTGCCCCAGCCATTGCTCAGTGTAGAGTATCTCAAAGCCTTTCAGGCTGTTCAGAGTAAGTACCACCCTTGGAAGCAGTCCTTGTGCTGATGCCGTCCATGCTATTTGTTTTAATCACATTTGTCATCCCAAAGACTATCACCGATATTTAGATAGCCATATGGACTCACTGATGCCAATGAGCGCTCACCGCCATGCCTTGTTTCCTTGTCTCATAAATTTACATCTCTGAGTAAACAGATACCAGAATGTTCTCTTTGGGTCCAGACTGATTGCACAATGTTTAAGGTGTACGGTATATTTTTTTTTTAGAGTTAAAAATCTGGAAACTTCACTTTTCTCTTACAGTAGAGTAACTCATATACGATCCCTGCTACATTTTCCTTGCCAAGCGTTAAAAGCAACACTTGTAGGAGGAGCTATGGAGGAACAGTTACCATAAAAGCAAGAGACGTGCTGGAGTCTGCAAGCATTTCCTAAAAATTAAATTCTGCAGTTGTCACACAGAGACAGAACAAAGCTGCCTTGTTGGTGGCCAGCCACAAACTTCTGATGTGTTGCCTTTTTACAATCTTAGGCCAGTCTCAAATTAGCATCTCTAATGGTTCTTGATACCTTTTCCAGTGAGCTTCTAAGGTTTATGTACTGGCATAATTATCCCGTTTTACTCCTAGAGACCATAAAGGAGAATGCCGTCACCACATTCAAGTAACCATATCTTTAATTTCCAAACTGGGACTCTTTGAGTGTGAAAAGGAGACACTATTAATAATTGCCGTGAGCTACAGTGTCAACCAGCACTGTTCCAGGCTATTAAAGCATGCAATATTGAGATGATTTCATGAGTCATCTCATATCATAACATTTCTTCAGAATTTCTAGAAGCGATGTGACTGAAATTATCTGCTGCTTAAAGTATTTTTTTCTTAGCAGATTTTTTTCTTTAAACAGAAGAAATCATCTTCTGTTTAAAATACTTTTAATGATTAAATTGTGCTATTTTGCATACATTTCCTGGATATGGATTGAGGAACCAAATTTATTGCTGGAAAAGAAATGCTGGAATGATTTCGAATATCTCTGAGTACTACTTAAATTGAGTAAGGGCCACTGAAAATTATAGTATCATTGAAAGCAACACATCTCCTAGACTAATTAAACCACTTGGTTTTCTGATTCATTCCACAAACATTTATTGAACACCTATTGTATTCTGGGCTCTGTTGTACATATTGTTGTTGGAATGAATGGAGTCCTACCATGAGTTGTTCAATACCATTAAATGCAAGAAACTTCACTGTTAGAGATGCACCCTGTTACCATGTCATGGAGGGTCCAATCTTCTAGGTCTTTCTATTGGGTAATAGTTGTCACGCAGACGTTAAAATGATTTCCAAAGCGCTGTGTTGTGTGTCTGCAAACATAAGGCTGCACATCATACGATCACAGTTGGAGGCAAGCATTCCGAGACGGAGGAAGCCAGAACAGCAGCTGCTTCTCCTGATTTCCCACAAACACACTCACAACGAGGCATGCTGCGCAGTCACTTTTTCTTACATTTCACAGTAATGTTTATGTCAAATAACTTCTTTTCTTCAAATAATGGGGGGGGGGGGGCAAGGAAAGGACCGTGTTCAATGAAGAAAAGTTCAGATTGATTTACTCTGTCACAGATCTGCCCTCAAGGAAGCAACAGCTGCAGGCGTTGAACCTCCTTGTCATCCTCCTGCCCGATGCAAACAGGGACACACTCAAGGTCAGTGGGGCCAATTGACATTAAATATCCCTTAGAGCTAAGCATGGGAATTTTTCATTGTTTGTGGCAAAACAATATGGTGTTTATTTTGAAATGGTAATAAAATCTATAAAGGAAAGGCCTCTTTTTAAGGCCAGATGGTGACAGAAAGTCTTTAACTCTCTATTAATCAATGATGTTGCTGTGATATTAATATTATTAGGTTTTGTTTTGCTGCTTTCTATATTTTAATTTTCACTGTAACATTTCTCCTACCAAAACAGATGATTGAGGTACATTGGTTAATTGAGATGTGAGTACTTTTTAAAAATTTTTCATTTCCAAATTTTATTTGAGGTGAAAAATAAATGTTTACAATGAAAATCTTAAAGCTTGCCCTATAAAAGGCACTGCTCCTAAAGATGTTGCATTTTATAATTTCAAGTAGTAGATCTTAAATGAGTTGTAGTGGTGATTTGAAACTTTTGTTAGCCAAAACATAGACCAACAAAATTCTAGTTATTTCTCTAAGAGTTTCTCAGTATTGATCAACATTGCAGATGATATTGATCTTATGTTTGTATGACTGAATGCTGTTTTATTATACATGTTTTCAGAGGCTTTTGTAAGCAGTGGATTGATTGACACTGATTTACTTTCCCTAAAGGCAAAAGATGATAGAGTCATTATAACAGGTTTCATAACAAAGTTTTATAAAAGAAAAATGGGGGATTTAGAAGAAGTATTTACCTTAGTTTTCCACTATCATAAAAAATTGTTTTACGTAAGTAGGATAGTACCATAGCTTTACCATCTGCATTTCTTTTTAAATTAAAGTACTATGTCAATTAAACAAAACTAAACATTAATAAATATTAGGTAACTTTCCCCATAATTCATTAAATTCCTTGAACTGTAACTACATGAGTGATAGTTCTTTAATGTCTACTGAATGAACGTTAATCCTCAACTTTTCTTGCTGAACCAGCTTATAAGGATTACTGGAGGGGAAACATTATATCCACCATGGGAGAATGTCCAAAGAGTTAGTTCCTCTACTAAGTTTAAAAAAAAAAATAACTTTCTGCTTCACTGATTGTCAAATGAATAACTCAGGAGGCAACATTAGTTTTTGTTTCAATTTGTCTTTGAGCTGGAGCCAACTCCAGAAAGGACAACATTTAATACATTGTGTGATGAGGCATCTGTGTAAGGTGTACAGGCCATGGCTCAATGGCCCAGGACAAAGAGGGACTGATTTCTGGTGTGTCCTCTGCTTGCCAGCCATGCCCTGGACATGGGGCATCAACTGCCCAGGAAGAGGAAGGAGCATATTTTTCTCACTCACATCAATGTGCTTGTTTGAATGAGCCAGTATAGGATGGCAGTTGAAAGCCACATGGTTTATGTCAAATACACCTATGTTCAGATGAGTTCACATGGCTGAGGGAGGAAACATTTAAGTCTATTACAATCACTATTGGCTAAGACTATAAGACTGCTCTAGAACTCATCTTTGGACTTTTTCTTCATAGTCTCAGGCATATTCTTTAAAAAAAAAATCTGTTTAGAAGATATTTTTGAAAATTTAGGGTTATTTTGATTTTTTGCATATGGGTTTACTGGAAGCATAATTTCATATTTAAGGAGGAAAATGATTTTGGATATGCAAACAAGTCATTTCACTTATTTGCTTAAGCTTTAGTAACTTAATTATATAGCTTTGATGAAGGTTTCAAACAAGAATTCTAGTAATAGAAGCATTGTAGTGAATTTGCCACATGTGCAAAGGAATCAACAATAACTTTAGTTCTGTAGAAAAAATGGGAAAATGCATCACAGTATGAGTTCAGGGGGCCTAAAGCAAAGCTACCCAGCTTCTGCAGCACTGTGCCCCTCCTTCAGCTGTCATGTAGGGGAACAGAATCATTGCATAGAGAAGAGTTCTGCCCACAGCGCGATTGGGAGGCACCATGTTCATGCCCGTTCCTGGTGTAGCGTGTCTCTTTGCTAGCTACTTGGGCAGAGTGATTTGTTGCCTGGGATGACTGTGCCATGTGGACAAATGAGCAGCCCCCCTACCCCCACTTTGACTTGCCCGAGCAGGGAAGACTGACTAGAACAGATCCAGAGGCGATCCATGTTAACGTCATGGTTGACCTTCATCCTTTCTGTGGTTGTAATGAGTAGGTTATTTGCATTCCCTCAATCTTGCAGGCTCATTTTACAAATGACATTTTCAAGAGCAGACATATAAGAGGAGTTACTCTAAGATCATTCACAGCAAATAAGTAACTGTGCTGGCACTCCAACTTGAGTTTTCAGTGAGTCCACTGATGCTCATACATACCAGGCTGGGGATAAAGTAAATAGTTTGGTAAAAAGAGGCACTTCTGCCAGTTCGGCTGAAGAGAAAATACTGCAATTCTTCCAGCAAGGGCTAGGCTAATATCTCATTAATTTTATGTTTACTTTCTCTGTGTCTAGTACCCTGATAGTAATACTTTGAATAACCTACTGCATATGCACACTGCAATTAAAATAGTTTATTACCTAATCTCTTTAATTTATGCTTGTAACGAAAGAGATACCCTGGTCCCTGAACAATTATTCTGGTCTCTGTGGAGCAAAATTAAATATTTTTTCTAAACGTCACCAATTAATCTTTTGTCCTCATTTGAGAACGTGCTGTTGCTATATAAACTTATGCTTGAATTACAATTTAACTTTCTCAACACTGGACCAGAAATTGCATGTATAAATCTCACTGGTAGATGCGAAGGCTCTGGCTTGAGTTTGCTTCACATGTTGGAGGTCTGTACAGCAGCTGAACTTGACTAAAGATCAGCATCTTGGTGCTTCGAGGATTTTTTTTTCTCTCCCGGAAATCCTGCAAAAGACAGACACTGGTTGTTGTTGTTCTGTTTCTGCTTTTCCATGTCAGTGTAGTCTATTCGACCTCTTCAGGTCGGGATTTTAGGCTAAACGTGGAAACAAGATACCATGAGTCGTTAAGATTTCAGAAATAAAAAAAAAGACACCTGCAATTAAATTCCCCCTCCACCATTTGCTGGATGGACGGTCTCCATGAACTGATTTACATTCTCTAAAACTTGTTTTCCTCCCCTATAAAATGGGGCTAATTACAGTTATTATCTATCTCATTGCAAGAATTACCTATCTCCAGTAAGGAGATACAGTGACATGATGGGTCACACTGCCTCGCCAACAGAGAACACTGGGTACCTGGGCAGTGATTGGTACTAATACTGTAGAGCAAAATAATTGAAGAAAGCAAGGGAATACTTTGTCATCTGAAGTCCTCTCAGAGCAGGGTGACCTGAGCTGCTTGTGGCTCCAAGGCTAGGCTCAGAGGATGGCTTCTGCTGTATGTGTTGTAATTGGGCAGTATCAAGCTGACTGTAACCTAGCTTGCTCTTGTAAGAAGTTCCTTTTCATTTGTCCTGTCATTTAGTTTCAAAAAACTCTGATCCTCATTTTTTTGTAGGTGCTATGTCCACCAGCTAATGAATGCCTTAAAGCAAATGAAACTGAGGGTGAATGAGCCTTTTTAAGAGATTCGCATTTTAATCTCTAAAAGGACAGGACTTTCCAAAACAAGCGAATGTTTCTATGACATTTGAAATTCCTTTCCAGTGGTCCTTGGTTTCGGGAGGTCAGAGAAGTCACGTGTTCCTTCTCCTCTCCCTGCTCCCTGTTGCTGCGTCTGTTTCCAGTGCCGTCATCCTTCGTAGCAGCAATGTGCCATCTCAAAGGATCAACCAAATGGGGATTCTTTGATGGATGTGGCCAGCTCCCTGGGTTTATGCACAACTTACTCGTTAAAGGACATAAAAACCCTGTAGGTTGCATGCTCTTATCTCTTCATGTATGAGACAAATCTCAAAGAATCATCTCTATTGCAGGGCCTGCTTGAATTTCTCCAAAGAGTCGTAGATAACAAGGAGAAGAATAAGATGACAGTCATGAATGTAGCTATGGTCATGGCCCCAAATCTCTTTATGTGTCATGCGTTGGGTTTGAAGCCCAGTGAACAGCGAGAATTTGTAATGGCAGCTGGGACAGCGAATGTCATGCACTTATTGATTAAGTATCAGAAACTTCTGTGGACAGTAAGTATATGTTTTTAAGCTCTGTTAATGGCCATGTAATTTCCTGTCATGATTGCATATAGCAGTTTTGAAGATAATTTTATAAAGGTGATATAGAAAGTGTGCTTTATTCTTAATGGTTAAAAGATTGTATTGTATCTTTGTCACCAGCTTTACAGAAAATTTTGAGTACAGAAAGTATTGAAGGTGTTCTATTCACCTACGTGAGGGGGGCTCTCTGATTTCTATTTTTTTTATGTCTTACTCAGTTTTTAATGTCTATTTCAAGTTTTTTATTTTCATTGACTTGAGAGAGAAAGAGAGAGAGAGGTGTTTCATCTGCTGGTTCATTTTCCAAATGCTTGCAACAACCAGGTCTGGACCAAGCTAAAACCAAGAACCTAGAACTCCATCTGTGTCTCATGCTTGGGAGAAAGGGGCCCAAGCCCTGGGGCCATCATCTGTTGTCTCTCAGGGTGCTTTCACAGGAAGCTGAATTGGAAGCAGAGTGGCCAGCAGTAGAGCCAGCACCCTGATATGGGATGCTGCATCCAAATACCCCCTGCGAATTTCTTTTTTTTTTTTTTTTAAGATTTATTTTATTTACTTGAAAGAGTTACAGAGAGAGGTAGAGACAGAGAGAGAGAGGTCTCCTATCCGCCAGTCCACTCCCCAGATGGCCACAATGGCTGGAGCTGCGCCGATCTGAAGCCAAGAGTCAGGAGCTTCTTCTGGGTCTCCCACGTGGGTACAGGGGCCCAAGGACTTGGGGCCATCCTCTACTGCTCTCCCAGGCCACAGCAGAGAGCTGGATCAGAAGAGGAGCAGCTGGGACTAGAACCAGTACCCACATGGGATGCTGGCACCTCAGGCCAGGGCCTTAACCTGCTGTGCCACAGCATTGGCCTCTGCCCTACAAATTTCTATTTTAAAATCAAGAAATTATACCAAGAAAACATTCCCTTTAGCAATCACTTCTTCTTTATTCTGCCTGATCGCCCTTCTCCCAGTATGGAGCCTGTCGTCTTTCCATCTTGATCTCAGAGCACTCAGTTACTTCTCCTCGAGTTTTACTTAAGGATGTTGAATTCTGATTGCAGAGGATGTCCCTGTGTTATCCTTAGTCTGAATGGAGGCTTTGTTTTGCTTTGCTTTTTATTTTATTTGAAAGGTCAAAACACAAAGAGAAAGAAAAAAAATTGGGGAGGAGAGAGAGAGAGATCAGTCTTCCATTTACTGGTTCGCTCCCCACATGCCTGCATCAGTCAAGCCCATGCTGGCCCAGGCTAGGCCAGCGCCAAGAAGCCCAGAACCCAGTGTAGATCTCCCATGAAGAAACAAGAAAGCCAAAACCCAAGCACTGGAGCCACCGCCTGCTACCTCCTGGGCTGCTCTTCAGCAGGAAGGCAGACTTGAACCTATCACTCCAGTGTGGGGTGTGGTGTCCTAAGCAGACTCTTAGCCATTATTCCAAATACTTACCCCTGAGCTTGTGTTTTGACAGAGAATCAGGACAACATGGTGATGAACAGAGAAACTTAGTTGAGTAAGGCCCCACTTTCCAGTGAAATTGATAAGTTTTGAGAGAGGTATTATATATGCAATTGGGACAAAAGTACTGAAGAACTTCCAAGTAAAGTCGTGATGTTGAATATTTCACTCTTACTCCAGGGATGATATCTAGATTCTGAAATCTCTTTAAAATTTTTTTAAAAATATCTTTTAAAGTTAATCAAATTATTTTTAATTGAAGATTTGTTTTTATTTAGTTGAAAGGCAAATTTACAGAGAGAGAGCGAGCTAGGTCTTCCATCTGCTGGTTTACTCCCCAAATGGGCGTATAGGCCAGGACTGGGCCAGGCTGAAGCCAGGAGCTACTTCCAGGGCTCCCATGTGGGTGCAGGAGCCTGAGTACCTGGGCCATCTTCTACTGGTTTCCCAGGCCCGTTTTCCGAGAACTGGACTGGAAGTGGAGCAGCTGGGATTGAACATCCTCTATGAACCCATAGAGGATGCCAGCATTGCAGGCGGTGGCTTTACCCACTGTGCCACAACACTGGCTGTGAATTCTTTGGGGGCCAAAAAATGTTGTATAAAAGGCATCTCATCTAAATGCGTTTAAATGTAACTATTTTTTTAAAGTTAATGTTCATTTGTTAAATCTCAAGTTTTAAAAAGCCAACATTGTTACATGGTTACCGTTTGATAACTTCAAGTCTTTGGTTCTTGCTAATGTGGTTTCTGAGGGTAAGCTTTCCCTGGCTTATTGCTGTTGGCTCTAGTTAATCGGTGAGTTTTTCTTTCTCTGGTTGAGCGGCCCAGCTGGCCGTGGGGCAGGGGCCGTGGAGAGGTAGCTGCTACAGAGGCGAACCGCCCCAGTGGCGGCCTCCATTGCTGCTCACCTCAGGGAGCCCCCGGTGTTGATGCTCTTGGCACGGGCGATGGCTGCTACGTCCTTGAACTTCACAAACCTCTTTTGGAGCCTTACACAATGGGTGGTAAATTACATTGTGCGGGTGCTGTGTACACCTGGTACGTGGATAATACCCTGCACTTTCTTTTCACAGATTTAATGAATCATGCATGGAAAGTGGCATAGTCTTATCAAAAAGGCAAAAGCTTACTTCTCATGAGATTTAAGAATTAAAGAGAATACTTTCTCCAGCTCAAACTGGTGCCGTATCTCTTGTCCTTCCCACATGTGATTTCTTTCCTCTGCAGATTCCCAAGTTTATTGTCAACCAAGTGAGGAAGCAAAACACTGAAAACCACAAAAAGGATAAAAAAGCCATGAAGAAATTGCTGAAGAAAATGGCTTATGATCGAGAAAAATATGAAAAGCAAGAGAAGAATACAAATGATGTAAGAAAATTTGTAAGATGTGGATTTCAGTGAATGTTTAAACCCAAAAAAGGGGACATGCTCTCACATTTACTAGGCCACAATTCTCGTTACTCCTTGTCCATGATCAATACAATTACTCAGATGTTGGTAACTTGGCAAGCGGATTGTTAATATGGAGCAAAAGAAACCAAACTGGAACACACACACACACACACACACACACACACACACACGACTGCTTTCTAGTTGCCCATTGAGTATATGATGGACAATGAATAAAGAATCCACTACATAAACCATTGATCCTTTTTCCTAAAATTTTTCATGAGTACAATGGGGAAAAATAATCCAGAGAGCTAATAGGTTAATGTTTGCATTGTGCATAGGTTCATTCTTGGACCTTGATAAGTATTTGAAATTCCTGTATTTGATGAGAAGAATTTGGAGAATTATAGTCAAAGCAAATTAAAGTGTTTCCAGAAATTACCATTTAAATATCAGTATTTCCAAGCTACTGTGAGAATATCTTAAGAATTAGGTGCACGTGAATGGAATATCCATGAAAATACGTTGAGGGGGTGAGTTATCAAAGCTCCAGAGTAGTAAGATCTTGAAATGAACGGGTTTCTATTGTTCTGTGTAAGTGAATATAGCCCAACCACTGCAGTTGAGGTTGTCCAGTTACATGCTGCCATCTTGTGGAATCATGTGAAAATGCAATTGTCAGCCTTTGTGTGATTTTTCTGCTGTGGCCTATTTAGGGATCCAATAGTTCTTTCTCTTGAAATTTTTTTTCCTTCTAAATTAGTTTATAGTTCTCATTCTTTAAAATATCACTTAGAATTGTAAAATTTTAAGACCAATATTAAGTGTCTTTAAAAACAAAATTTAATGAAGGGAAATTGTAGATAATATTTATTTATATTATTGAGAAAGGACTTGCTGTTTTCAGAGTAGAAAAGATATTAGAGATATCATTTTTGCTTCCCTTTAGAATGCTTGTTACATTTAGCATTGGAGATAGGTGAATATTTTTTACTTCAAAGCCCTGCTTATTCACACAAGGGTACTTCAAAAATTTATGGAAATACTGAATTAAAATAAGTTATTTTGATGCAAAAAAGTTTTTAAATTCATGCTTTTTTCAGTAATTCACATTTTTATGAACTTTTTGTAGATCCTTGATAAGTATGAATTTCCAATTTTTTTGCACCCCAACAGATTTATTTTTTAATTTTATTTTCCATGAACTTTTTGAAGTGCCCATGGTTTTACATGACTTTGTATTCTTGTATTTCATGATACTTTGAAATACAGTATCCATTTAAGGGAACACTTGTGCTTTATCTATTAAATAATAAATCTGGAGTAAAAAAATCCAAACAGTTTTTGAAGATGGACTATTTATTTCAATAGTTATTTAAAAATCATTTAATTTTGTCATTTAGAGATAAGTAATTAACTTGGGTTTCTTTCTTCGCACTTTGGGCTAATTAGACATGAGCCAGTCTGAGGATTATCCTTGTGCTATTGCAAAGCTGTGCTACCACTTTAAAGCTTGAGATTTCAATCTGAGTTTTAGCATGATTAGCTGTAAGTTTAGCACTCTGGAGTTGTCTTTTTCTCTCCTGGGAAATTCAATCACTGGCTTATGAAAATGCTGCTAAGTGTTTCCTCTGTGCCAAGACCCCCCTTCATCTGGGTGTTCAGAGGCAGCAGGAAATGGATGAACACATGAGGAAGCCGGGTAGATCTGTCTGAGGGATGGAGCTCCATGGTGCCAGAGGTGAAGCCTGAAACCAGAAGTAGGCATCAGAGGGGCTTCACTGGGGAGCTTAGCTGAGATGTGGAAACCATGTAGGTGCCACTGGAAGAGGGAGATCTAACCCAGTGCACAGTGGATCTCACTTAGTCTGTGCTGGAAGTACCCCAGCACCCCGGCCTACAGCATAGATCCATTTGGCCTGCCACTGTCACTGAAAATGTTTTATCCATTTCCAGGGTTTTTCCTTTGATTTGGTTTCACTTTATTAGGCATAATAACTATACAGAAAGCAGTTACAGAACAGCAGGTGAAAGTACAAGATAAGATACCGTGAATATGTGGCAAGGCATTCAAGTTATCAGAGCATTTCATGTAAACTTCCATCCATTGTCATAATTTGAAAATGAACAGATTTAATGTAAAAGTTTGGACTGCCACCTTTATTTTTAAATTTGTTTTAAGATTTACTTATTTGAAAGATGGAGTGATGTGGGGGGCAGGGGGAGAGACAGAGAGACCCCTCAGCTGCTAGATCACTCTTCAGATGCTGTAGCAGCCAATGCTGGGTCAGGCTGAGCCAGAAGCCAGGAACTTCATTTGGGTCACCCATGTGAGTGGCTCTGCCTTCAATATGGATACCTCTGTCACAGTGGTGGCTTAACCTCTGCACCACAATGCCGGCTCCTTGGCCTGCCACCTTTTTAAAAAAAAAAATATTAAAAATGAATGTTTCTTATTTTATTTTTAAGATTTATTTATTTATTTGAAAGGCAGAGTTACAGAGAGAGAGAGAGAGAGAGAGCGAGCGAGCTTCCATCTGCTAGAACACTCCCCACATGGGCGCAATGGCCAGGGCTGGGCCAGGCTGAAGCCAGGAGTCAGGAGCTTCTTTTGGGCCACCCGTGTGGGTGCAGGGGCCCAAGTACTTGAGCCATCCTCCGCTGCTTTCCCAGGCATGTTAGCAGGGAGCTGGATTGGAAGTTAACCAGCCAGGACTCGGGCCAGTGCACATGGAATGCCGGCACTGCAGGCATCAGCTTTCCCTGCTACTCCACACACCGGCCCCTAATGTTTCTTCTTTGAAAATAAATACTTATGTTCTTGAGAGATGAGGAGACTGATAAAGTGTGTGTGTGTGAGAGAGAGAGAGACAGACAGACAGACAGAATGAACACATTCCCATCAGTGGCTGACTGCTCAGCTGCCCATATTGGCGGAGGCAGGGCCAGACTAAAGCCTGGAGCCAGGATCGCAGTCCGGGTCTCCCCCAGGTCTTGGGAGCCCCCTCGCTTGAGCCATCACCACCTCTTCTCAGGGTCCACACCAGCAGGAAGCTAGCTGCAGTCAGGAGGTGAGCGTTGCCCTCAGCTGCTCAGACACGGGACTTGGGCTTGCCCAGCTGCTGGGCCGAACGCCAATTCCTGGGCGAGCATCACTTAGATCTAAGGGCATCTCTTGTTGCCTGAGAGGAAGGGGCTTGTTTTCCCACAGGCTAACAGCTGCCTGCATCTAAGCACTAGCTGTCCTCTCCACATGGAACGTGGTACACCTATTTGGCCATAAACCCTAAGCCCTCATTCATTCCGCCTTATTGCTTTTCCTCTCCCCTCACATCATTTGAATATGCAGCCCAAAGACACAGGCCCTGAAGCTGCCTGGGGTGTATATTCATTCCCCTGTTAAACAGTTCCTTGATGTGTGCCAGGCATTGTTGTTAAGAGCATAAAATACATTATTGAGCATAATAAATAAAGAACTCTGCTCTTGTACAACTTAAATTCTTCCAATAAAAAAAAATGATCATAGCATGTTATTCTGTTGTCAGTGCTCTAAAAAAATCATCAAAACAGAGCAGAAAAGGGGAATTGAGGTGGAGGAGCCTCTTGCAGACTTAAATGTGGTCATGGGGATATTATTCAGTGAAGCAAAAATATGAAGGAGGGCGGGGCTGAGCTGTGGGTCTGGCTGTGGAAGACCCGATGGCAGCAACTTGCTTGGGGTATCTGAGGCCTGCGAGGAGTGAAGTGTGGTTAGAGGCGAGGGGAGCAACAGCATGAAATGTGGTCAGCAAGGCACTGAGGCTGGATCACCTAAGACCTGCAGTCCATTGTTGGGAACTCAGAGTTGCCCTGTGTGAAATAGGGTTCTTGCAAGGTGTTGGGCACAGGCATGAAAATCTATGCTATGTTTTAAAATGATGCCTTGGTTGTGATGTGAAGGGGAGACTTGTAGGGAAGCAAACTAGAGACAGGAAGACCAGGAGGTTCCTGTAATTGAGGTGAGAAATGATGGAGGAGCAGACCGGGATATGAGTCTCAGAAGAGATCAGATGGTAGTTAAAACCATTGGGGTTTCCTGATGGAAGTGATGCGGATTGTGAGAGAGAAAGAAGTCAAACGTGGCTCAGACGTTTTGGGCCTGAGAAGCAGGAAGGAGAGAATTGATAGGGCACATTATGATTGAGGCCTGTTGAGATTGAGCTGTGTGTTAGACATCTAACTGGGGGTGTTTAAGGATGTTTGAAGGGAGAATACTAATTGGCCAGTGAGGTGCAAAGTAAGGCAGGGGCAGAGTGAAAGCTAGTTTGGGGCTTTCTATTCTGACCTGAGAGAACTTCAAAACATATGTGGACAATAGAACTAAAAGCTGGCCTGGGCATTGTGGTGCAGCAAGTTCAGCTGCTGCTTGGGACACTTGCATGCCTGGGTGGGTCCTGGCTACTCTGCTTTTGATCCACCCTCTGCTCATGCATTCTGGCGGTAGCAGGTGATGGCTCAATTTCTAGGCACCTGTTACCCACGTGGGAGACCTGGATGGAGTTCCAGGCTCCTGGCTCCAGCCTGGCCCAGCCCTGGCTGTTGTGGGCCTTGGGGAATGAATTAAAGGATGGAAGTTTTCTCTCCATATCTCTGTGTCATCCTGCCTTTCAGATAAATAAACAAATATTTTTTTTTTAAAAAAGAGATGCTTATTTTGGTATAAAATTTTGAAATCCATTCATAGTTTTTTCATAATACGAATTCTTCCTGTATTTTTTGAAGATTGTGATATACAATAGGGAATTGCTGAAAGATTATATGACCTTAGGAGTTCCATGATTAAGTTGCATTTTATTTATTTATTTATTTATTTATTTTGAAGTTCTATTTTATTTTAAAATGTTATCTATTTTCACCTATGTGAAAGGCAAAGTTAGAAAGAGAGAGAGGAGAGAGAGAGAGAGAAAGAGAGAAGGAGAGAGAAACTTTCCATG